CTTTAAATGCGTTGACGTTTCTTCTGTCAATTTTAAAACGACATTGGCGCCCTGATTTTGGCACAATATACCATGTTACCAGATCGTGGTGCTCCTTACCAGTTTTCCTAGTCAACAACATTGTGAAATTAAAGCTATTTCTCCGTCTATTGCCATTTAGTAAAAAATCAATAAATCTTGTTTTATAATATAATAAACTTGTTTATCTTCTCCCTTCCTGCTTTTCCAATAGAAGCAACGACTTTCTCCATAGAAATATTCGACTTTGTAAATTCAAAAATAAACTCCTGTTTTGACTCCGTTTTGGTTGATTTTTTCTGTTGTTTAAAAACGGATTTTCAACATGAACGTTGTTTCACTTTGTAGATTTGCATGGTTAATTCATTTATTTTTAAAGCACTATTTGTGTGTTTAAACACTTATTTACAGTTGTTTACGGTATAAATACTGGGATTGTTAGTAATGTTATCAGTTATCTGTCTGGGTAATAATTATATATATTATATATATTATATATATATATATATATATATATATATATATATATATATATATATATATATATATATATATATATATATATATATATATAGTGTGTTTAATGTTAAGTCCTAATTGCCGAGACAAATTGAAGCCTAAAAGAAAACGCTCTATAGAATAACATCCTGTATTTTAATTAAATTTAAATTTTATCGGAAACATTTTGATTTGGTTGTGGTTTTTGCTAGCATAATTGAAATTAAAGCTACAGTATTAAACTTAACTACTATTTCACAGTATTTCACAGTATTAACGCTAACGTAACTGCTGCCATTATTAGTATAATAGTATAAATTAACTATTCTTTACATGACCTAAATTAGTACAACAACCGCAACATGGGAGGGGATTTCTGGAGACGGTAAGGTAAAGTAAGGATTTTCTAGCGTAACACATGATGTCATAGCTAACACAAGTAAGATTCAGTAAGCGAAAACGTCTTATCGAATGTAACTTACCTCCTGTGATAGGTTAGCCGAAGTTTGTTTTTAATTTCAGTTATCTGTTTGATCATCTGTGTGTCTTTATATTTTCTTATGGCAAGAAATGGAGTTAAATCAAACCAAAGGTGTTATTATCATTATTATTCATAAGTGATTGGGTATTTTTTGTCGTTCTCATAATAGATATAATACATAATACACCAAACGGAAACTGTTTTTCCGGAAATTTAGAAAAATCAATACGAAAATCAGAAAATAGTTGTGTTTCCAGCCTTATCCTTATCCTTAAACGCAACTTTTTAAAATCACTCGAGAAAAGCACAAACCTAACCCCTGCAATACGCCGTTGCCGGATCGACAAGAAAATAGTAGTATTCAGTATTTTCGCACAGGTTCGAACCTGTTCGGTAAATCACAGTATGGCGCGTGTACGCCACTGCAATTTCCCTCCCCCGACCCGTGTTCCGACTATTATGCGGATTAATTATACGATATATCCGGCTCTACGGTCTGTCGGTTGGAAACGTATCTACCGGCGCGATTTGGGAGGAGAAAAAAAAAACGTTACAATGGACCATTGTTTCAGAAATTTCTCGCGGCCGCTAAAATTTCCCACACAGGTTTTCGCGCTTCAACGGTCCAGAAGCAGAAAATCACCCAGAAACTTACCGCGGAAACCGGAAACACTGGGTGACGTTGAAAAACAATTGACGTTGAGGTTTGTCAAAGGGAGTCGTCCCGCAATCGAATGCTAAAATCGGCGAAAATTGTTTATTTCATTTTCGTTTATCTGTGACGCGTATGCATTTTTATCCAAATTTGATTGCATCGCGTCCAACACGCAAATCAAATAGATAAGGTTTATGCGTCTCGGCCCCGGCGCATCCGCCGATACACACAGTTGCACACCAACGAAATAAATACAATACCCAAAAATTAGGTGGAGACCCCGAAAATATAGTATAAATTTAAACCAGTGAACTCCATCTATCGAACTAGAATAGTTCCGGTAATGCAGGCAATAACGATTTGGTCGAGATCGAGATCGAGATGGGTAGTAATGGAAATTATTTTCTTCGTCATACAATAAGATATTTTTGATATTATTTCTTAATTATTATTGAAGTTTGGATTTTTCAGTCGTTCATCCCCGAATTAAGTGGCCGTGATATATTTTGACTATTTTTGGCGGTACTCCTTACTAACTTTGAAATACAAATTATGCATTGATCAAGACGTTAACTTCGTTAAAGACTGCCACGTGCCACTTAGGGCGATTGCGGAGCTACGACGACGGGTCTGGGAGCGATGGAATGATTTCCTGAGATTTTAACCAGTAAATAATAGTCTTCGTACTGTTTTGCAAAAATATATCCAGAAACTAATGATCGTCGTTGATTAGCTTCTTCAGACATTCGTTTTTTAACCTCTCTCTCCGCTCGAAACAAATAAATCTCATGACTAAAGTGGTCTTTATAAAACTTTCTATTCTTATCAAATTCTTATTTACAATGACATTTATCGGAAAACATGGCAGATTATTCATAAATTTTAGAAAATTAATAAAACAATGAAAATCAAATGTAAAATAATTTTTCGTTTTAACTGAAATTTTTGCTTCTTTAATATTTGACAACTGCACCGAGGTGCAAAAATAAGTCATTTTCATTTCTTGACAAAATATTGTAAAATAAAGAATAGCTGAACCAACCAAAAATCGATTGATTTTTGATTAGTTCATAAAAAAAACATATATACTAAACTATAAAATTCGAGAACATATAGTTTATATAAAATTTAAAAAAATAATTAGCTTTATACATATATTTGAGATCCATTCAACAAGCGCATACGCGTTCGTTTTTAACCAATGTCCTTGCCGGATTTAACAACCAACATGGCCGCTGACAGATCGTCGATAAATTTGGATGGGGCATTTTTACGACAGTGTTTTCTCAAAATATGCCTAGATCTGGTTAAAATGTTTTGGGAAAACGAGTTAGGTGCGTGAAAATCGTTGTTTAGAAAGAAAATGGCACAAAGTGCAGGTTAATGGAGAAATGTAGAGGCATGTGCGACTACGAGAATATCAATGTCAATATATAATTTTTACCGCTAGTACGGTCACTATATTATCTAATAGCTATATGGTTTTATATGGTGTTTCTATTTTAATTTTGTAATTTAAAAATCTAGCAACGTCGTCCCCAATTTCTTTTCTGCCATTGCTGTCAACGAAAACTAACCTTTAGATATTCTATAGCAATTTCCAACGTACATCCAAAATCTTGAGGTTATTTTATCAACATTTCATTATTATTAGCAGGTATTAGATGTTTTCTGGTTAAAAAATACGGCACAATATAAGAAAAAAAGTAATCACTATAAACTTTTTTATTTATTTTTGGAAAAAATGCTCCTATAATTTGCAATTTTTTTTATCGTTATTTACCGTTTCAATTCATGGGATACAAATTTTCGAGAAGTTCGTGTGTCCGAAAGACGTTATTGTATATTAATGATCTGATCCCGTTTTATAAATAATTATGAAGTCTTCAAATGATGATATAAATAAATATTATATAAATAAAGTATTTCCATGTAATAACGAAAATCGTTAATTTGATTTTATCATTTGTATGGCATCACCACGTATATTCGTGGATATTATTTAAACATTAATATTTTGTTATTATTTGACTGTCGCGTTAGTTGTCAAGAGAGAAAAAGTATTGGTGAATTGATGATTTGGTAAATACGAAATGTGCATTTTAAGGGTTTTTCTAAAATAATACCTTTTTTAACGTGCTACTATACGCTATTTTCAAAAGCATTAAAAAAAAGATTGTTAAAAACGTTACTTAGTAAACTAACCAAATACAACAGCTAGCTCATTGTTCCATTTATATAAACAAAACAATTAAGACACAATTAAAATACAATAACCCGCATTACTAGCCGTTTTTTTTCTGTTGTAAAATTTGCCTCACTTTTGTATCACGCCCTTGTCACTCCAGCTTAGGTAGATCATAGAAACGAAATGCAACGCTGTCAAATCTGACTTTGAACGAACGAACGGAAAATCTTTTTTTTTTTACTGTAGTAGGGCCACAAAAATAAATAAAAAGCTATTTAATGCATATTAAAAGCAAATTAATAGTGTTTTGTTCTACTGACACATTAATAAATATTAAATTGTGCCAAATGAATTCGAATTCTTTAGAAGCTAATTTTAAGGTTGGTATTACAGAAAACTAGATGGTAATTAGGACCGCTGAATCATATATCAGATTATGAGCATTGGGTGCACAGTTTGTAATTAAACAGCAGTCTTCAGGTAAAATAGGATCGATCGTGTGAAAATTCTCACTTTTCGCACCGTGTGCCGGCGCTGATTGATATTTCCTGAGAGCGAAAAAGCTACGAGGGGTGAGAGAGTTTCCTGCCTATCGGCCGGATGTTCGTAGTACCCCTCGAGACCTCGCAGGCTCCACGCAAAAATTTTACGGGCCTTAAACTTCGACTTCGTTTGTTCACGACTGACTTGTCGCTCCATTAAAAGATCATTTTTATTAATCGCGCTCGCGTATTAACCTACGTTCCTTGTCAATTGTTCATATGAAGCCTGTACCAAACACATTTGCAGATTTGCCGCAGAAACGTACAGACAAAAAAATGCAAAGTCGCAGTGACTAACCAACTCGCACGCCATGCCGAAACGAAAAAATAACCCAGGCAACTGATTTTACGTTGCATCGTGCGTAACGCATTCCTTACAAATAACAGGTCGGTCGTTTCTAATGAACCGAACTGGAACGTCGCCTCGGGTATTGTTTTAAAAATTTAAAATTGGGTGCGATTAGAGCGATGCGACAACTGCGCTTGCGCGGCCTTCGACGAATTTAAATCGTACCGCTCCCTTCGCCGGAGTGCGGCCGCCGTTTTTGTTTAATGCGTGGGTTTAGAAAAAGAACGCCATACAAGCGACGCTGGCGTTGATGCGTCGCGCTCGCTCTCGCGGCTTGTGGCGTGGTTATTTTGCTGACGCATTTAGTCGCGTATGGTTCGTTGCATTAGAGTTTGCGGTCGGTGACTTCGTCGAGGATTCGAGTGCTTTTTCCGGGTTGTTTACTTTTTTTCGTTCCCGCGCGGCGCCGAATCGAAAAATCTACCGTCACGAAAACTGACTACGTTGTCGAAACGACCTTCCCGCGTTTGTTGCCGCAGTTTCTTCGCCAGCTTGGCCTAAAACAAGTGGAAAGTATCGCGTGTCTATTGTAAGCTTGGTTGCCTAACCTCAAACAACGAAACCGCAGTGTTTTGCAAACAAGATGAGCGCGAGTGTTTACCCGACACATAGGGCGATGGTACTATCGTCCCGGAATCAGGACACGGTTATTAGCAATCAACCCGAGGTGAAAAAGGTGAAACGGATCTTGTTCGGGCCCGCGGACCCAAAAGCCACGCAAAGGTTCATCGACGATGAGCTAAAAAAGATACTCGCTACCACTTCAGAACGATGGAACTTTGATTTTCAACGCGAGCGGACTTTAAATCCTGAGGGAGCGTACGATTGGAAACCTGCGACCCCGAAGAAGTGTATCAGGCCCATTAAACGGCGACCCGAATCTGATTTCGACACATCCGAACTGTATTGCGAACCGTGTCGTATAGAGATCGTGAGGCCAATTCCCGTTAGGATCACCGCATCCTGCAAAACGCAACAGAGTCACATAACAGGTACGTCTGATATAGTCGGGTTACGAGAACAACAGCCGAGATATATTCGACTATTTTGGTCTAATATAAACCGTAATAGGAGAAATCGGCACCATTTGATTAGTAATAAGCGCAATACGATAAAAATTACTTAAGAAGACATTAGAAAAGAATATTTGCAACATGTATTTTAGCTATAGTGTTTTAGCAAAAACTGTTGATTCCTTAAAAACACCCAAATCTTTGAGTGAATTCTAAGAAGTGAACCTATATCCTCGGTCCTTAACTTAAGGAAGTGAACGTAAAACAAATATTTTTGACAAAATGTTATATATGCCTCTGCTTGTTCGCAATATAAAAACTATTTTTAAAATCTCCATTCCAAAATAGGATGAAATAACTAACCAAAATGAGCAGTTTATGCGTGGTGTGACATACCACGTGTATATCCCGAGAATTACACAATTGATCAAAGAACAAAAAACAATAATGAATAAAAGAACTGGTGTTAATAAAACCAAACATGACCTGCTCTCCCAAACCCACTGGTGGCGAGGAGGGGCCAACTTTGAAATGTTAAATGCAGGTCCTCAGTATCAGGTTCAGCGACAGGTTCTGTCCGAATTTTTTTTTTGGATTCTCTGCAGATGGCTCTGTAATCGCAAAAAAAAACATTTCTCCGATTTGTTAAGAAATACTACTGCTGTTACTTAACAAAGCCGAACAACACCTTGAGCGTTTTGGCCCTAACCACCACAGCCTTTCATCTCGTTCTATTTCTCACTACTTGTTCCCACTCTATATTGTCTTTCAATCTGTCCTGTGGGACCACGCTTATCCTGAAATAGGGTTAACGGTCGAATTGGCTTGCGAGAGTGTCTAATGAAACTAACGTTTTAGAGTAGAGAATAGCAAAAATATGTTAAAACGAAGGTAATGATAACACTAAAGTCGGATTCATAAGATCGAGCCGTGTATTTCTTAAACAAATAAGATAAAACTTTTTTTGCGATTACAGCGCCATCTACCAAGAATCCAAAAAAAACTTTGGATAAATGCTGACACTTTCGTAGCATAAAATATGTTTAAGATTTCAATTTTGCTATTATGGAAGAGCTTTTTATAGAATATTTAAAAGGTTTTTTTTAATTTTCGAGATATACCACCACCTCCATACTTTTTAGACACTGGGTATATGAGAAAAATATGTTGAGTTAAAAAAAAAATTGTGCCTATTCCGAGAAAATACAACGGCATAAATTTGTTATGTATTTGGAAACCTCAGCAGGCACAAAAACCGTTAAACACCCCCTACCTATATGTGTGCACTAAATTTGTGCGTCACGTGTTATTGAGCCTTCTCCCCTAGGTGGGATCGCCGCTGCATCTGTCCCGTCAGCTGTTTGATGAATTATTATTAGGCCTATGTTTTTGCGAAAATTCGCCCCTTCGCAGTCGCTTCCATCTCTTAGGCCGTCCGTTGTTAAACATGGATTTTTTTTAAAAAGTTCTCAAACTTTTGTAATTATTTTGTTTTAAATCCTATTATGGCTTTTTTACGGGTCAACTAGAACAGCATTAGCATGATACGAAAGTAAGGGAATTTTTACAATAGAAACCGACCGCTAGAATGGGGATTCTGGTCTTTCTCTTGCTTCGCGTTGTTTGATATATTTACCGATATGGCGACCGATATATTCTTAATGAAATTATTTACTCATTATTTTTTGGTGATCAAACAATATTCTTATTAAAGATTAGTGTGAAATAAAATAATACATAAATGAAATATCTAATAATAACTTCTTAAAAATATTTAATTTTTTCTAGTGTTTAAAAAAGTATTTTTGAAAATTGATTGGTCTGAAATTTTTTCAGGAGCATTGTTTCAAGAAAGACTATAAATACACACATTTGCCTAAGTGTACATGTGTACAGTTTTTGATTATTACTGCAGACATAAGCAACGCAAGAATTTACCATTGAAAAAACAGGTTTATTAACATAAGACCAGTATGCCATTATTATTATAGATCAAAACCACTTAGTTCAGAGAAAGATAAACGATTAAAATGATTTCACAGAACTACCCGGTAACGAACCCAAGAAATCCCTAACTGCCATTGGCATTAACGTATTCGACAATGAAAACAATCCCCACTACAACCCGTATCACTCTAAATACAAAATTTGCATCATAAAATTCACGTTGACACGATTATCGGTAATCTCTTTGATACTTCGCAGAGATTATCGAAATTCATCATTTCCGCGTTATTTCGCGTCATTTAAGTCGTAAATGGCAGGGCCGCCCATGACACGGGCACCCTTTGCCATGTACTTGCGGGTACGTCATTTCTCGTCAGCCACACGACCGACAGAGGTCGTTCACACCGGCGCGCCGCATTCGAGTTCACGCTTAAAATCTAAACAAAGGTTTTCTTCGGTCTCCTCTCTGAGGTTGTTGTTGTTACGGCCATAGAGATAGCACGATCTCGGTGTAATATAAACCCGAGTACATAAACCAACCTAATCGGAGAGCATTTTACGCCGGACAGATGGTTTTTTCATTGGGGCCGTTTATTACTTTGATTCGCTGCGGATCGAGGAAGAATTTTTTCTCTTAATGTTAGCTGATTCGATTGTAAATAGGAAAAAGTCGAGTCGAATTATCTTCCAGTCCCTTAAAATATGCATAAAATGAATACAATGTGTCCCAGATTCGCTTCTCTATACAGGGTTCTCCGTACCTATTATGCTTACGGCAAAGGTTAGTTAAATGGGGAAAGGTTTAAAAATAGCATGTGTCTCAATCGTCTTTTGTTATGTCGTAACCCGCCTTACTTTTCATTTTTCTTATGGTCGTCATATTGGATTTTTCGATTTTTTTAAAGAGCGTAGTAGGGCCGAACCCGTGACTACAGTGACACAAGCTCAAATAGGTTTTTTTGAGCTTGTTGTACTCGACATACTACGTAATATGCGTATAGCTTACAATTATAAGGTAAAATCACTAATCGGTTAAAACTTACTTTCCTGTTGAACTCGTTATATTAGATAACTCTAAAGCCAGGTAGGCAATTAATCAATAATTATAATTAATATAGGTATATTAATTATTTTTCTAAGCGGTCTTTATTTGGTAAATAAAATCCGGTCGCAGAATCCAAATATCCTGAATTAATTCGATGACAAGCAAGCGCATTGGTAAAATCCATTACTTAGTGGGTTTATTTTCCTAATAGCATAATAGTTAATAGAATATTTTATGAATGTAATCAAATGTAGCTTCGTTCACTAACATTCAACACGTTTGAGCTGTACCAAGTCGTTGGTACCGTTCCAACGCGGCATCAATACATTGGCAAAGGAATAAATAAATAACGGCCCTGATGGTTGAAGATGCGCGCGTACCTCGCGATTACGCAATATATTTTTTGCCATTTGCATATCGTGTCTATTACACTAACCTCCATATACGAGAGAAAGTGCACACGTTATTCAGTACCTACACGTCTGCGTATAATACGGGATCATATATTTTACAACGTTGTCGAGTAAAAAAAAACCGGAACGTCCCCGTGTATCTGAAGTAGTGTGGGAGAGAGTGCGCGCGCGCTGCGTTCTCCGGTGTTGCCGGGTGTGCCCGGCGTCGGTTGTCGATGCGAACTTGCTAATGTTTCGCCAGTCATCCTGTTGGCTTCTTCAGAGCTTAACTGAACCAGGCGAGACTTCAGCAAGATCCAGAAGATCCCGAAGATTTGTAAATACTGTTAGAGTAGGCTGTGGAATTTTCTTTGAAAAATTAATCAGAAATCGTAAAACTATATACATTTTTCAAAAAAATAAATAAAAGCCTCTTTAATAAAGTATTTAAATGCGCAACCGAGAGGTTAGAATAAAAAATACAAATTTCTATTGAAAAATCGGTAATATGAATTTTCCAATGGTTCATGGAAAATACATTACATTACATACATTATAGTCAGTCATTCTTTTTAAGAGTTTCAGTTTGTTGTTTTTTCTCTTTTGTATTATTTTTTATGAATTATATTGCACTACGAAGAAACGAAGCTTCTGCTTAAAAAACCGCGTAATATATTTCATTTAATTACTTTCATTAGATTATTATCAGTATCGGGGTTTCCGTCTTTTTTTTTCTTCTTTTCTTTTTGCAGCAATCGGCATTGGTTTTCGATTTTTTTTTTCGGGTTGTTTCCTAATATAACCGATATATCAACACAGAACCTATGAATTAATTAGTAGGTGGGACCCGGTATAAACCTTTCTTTTCTTGAACTTCTTAATTGAATTGGGGTCAGTAATGGTCATTTACGACCCACAAAACACCTTTGTATATGGCGCAAATTTTTCGACGATTTTTATATATCATACATACCCATTGTGTCATGAATTAGTCGGGTCCCGGTGTAGTAATGTTCAGTCAGACAATTCTAAATTATCAAATTTATGAAATTGCTAAAGACCGTTTGGGCAAGATTGGGCATTTAAAATTACCGTTGGTAGTTGTTTTACATTCTTCAATACAACTTCTAAATAAAAGTGCTAGTTTTTTGGTCCCTTGGCGATGAAAATGATAAGAAAAATACTCGGATTAACAAAAACATTCTAAAAGCAGCTCTGTTATGTAAAGGAGTTTTATTCTAGTGATATTTCGGAATGTTGGCCGCCCAGACACTCGAACAACGCAATAAAAAAAACCTCAGCCGGCTGAACTGACAAGTGGGACTTAAAATCTTGATATCTCGCGAGTAATCTCGAGATCCGGCAACGGCGCACTCCGGTTCTGGGGCGTATGGGCGGTTGGAGGGTGGGGACGCTGCTGCGTTGCGGTGGCCGCGAGGTGCATCGGAACAAGAAGAAAACACCACGGCCTTGATGTGTAAGACCGGTTGGCAGCGGCCAGTTTCCATGCACACACAAAAGACGATCGTGACGATTAGCGCTTGCGGTCTGCACCCATCCTACGAGCGACCAATTTGTTCATGGCCGCCCCGCCCGCCTCCGACCGGGCCCGTTTTGAACATTCGTTAATTTACCGGCGACGCATGGTTACCAACGATAGCGTTCAATCGGATAGTCCCTGTGATGGGCGCCAGCAAAGTAGAAAACTTAAAGTATTTGAGTATCAGAAAGCGTATTCAACAGGTACTTACAATACAAGAGTGCTTATTGATGTCAAAATTTACGTACTACGTTATATTAAAACAGAAAGACGATTGCACAAACCTAGTAAAACTGAGAAACACTAAAAAAGAGCCACTACCAATGAAGAAAAAACTTAATGCAAAACAAAAATTAAAATAAAGTAAAAAAAAGTGATTTTAACTTTCAAATCAATTTCAAAAATAAAAAATAGATGTTTAGAAATTGCGTCATACCGGTCGTGTCTCAAAAAAATAACAAAAAATAATTGACAGTAGTTGGTTTAGTTTAGTTTAATACATCTAACATAAATTTACTAGTTAGCAACGCCGCATTCCTATTGAAATCGGTGAAATACTCTTCCTAATGGCGGCGCCGTACAAAATAAAACTGCGCAAACCATAGATGCTAGAATATGACCAAAGTTTTGTAGAAAGCCGTTTAGAAATGGCGGTTTGGATCGAGGTATCGCGCATCTTTGGTTTTCGGTAAATTCGCCACAAGCGTAGAAACCCAAACATCGAGTTAAATCGGTTAGAAAATGCGAACCGTATGCGCGCGCGCGCTTGTGATTTCATCGACAATGTGCAGCGCGCGCGTCGGAGTAGGCGGCCGTGGCGGCCTTTGTTTTTTTCCTTTTTTTTTCGCTTATTTGCGTCCACAGCTACCGCGATGCGCACTCCCGGCCGTGTGCATTTTCCTGACGTGTGGTGGTTCGGGCTCGTGCCGCCGGCCACGCCCACAATTTATTGCGGCATACGCGGTGGTCGTCGGTGTTTCGCAGCCTTGGCAATTTTCGGAACAAATGATGGAGAGCGCGACGTACAGGGTGCTATGCGACGTAGAAAATAGATAGTGTAGGATGATGCAACCAAAAAGCAATTAATTAGTTTTGGTTAAATCAACGTTAAGGTGTGTGTAATGCATCCTTGAAGGGGTAAAAGATATGGCTAGCGGAGACTGTAAAAATCCAATAGAGCGCCCTCAAGAAACATCAAAGTCGAAGGCGGTTTAGGCGACGAGGAAATTGATCCTTGTTCCGGTTACTTCGTATCCCTTACTGTTTGCTGCGGTATAGTTTTCGGCTGCGAAATATTTGCGCAAACCACGCGTGTTTACGCTGTTCCCTATTTGTTTTCTTCGCATTTATTTACGCGCGGAAGATAAGCCCAGATAACACGGGTGACGACAAAGTCAAGGTTTGCGATACAACAACAATCCGCCATTGTACTATACGACTGTCTAGCAGATATTCAGAGTCGTTCTAAAAACCTACATTCTGGCAGCGGCGGATGTCCTACGACTGACCACCTACGTCACAAATTTAATAATTAAATTTAATGAAAATAGACATTGGCGAGCTTTCAAAATTATTTAAAATAATTGAGCAATGAGAGTATCTACAATTGCGATCCAATAAACGCTCCACGTTTTAAACTTGATTTTTTAAAAATCTTTGTTAAATTGTCAATATTGAAAATTTAATTAAAATCAGAAAGGAATGTCTGCAATAATTGTTAATTGGTCCAAGTGAACTGAATTCACAAAACGCATAAGTATTTAATTTAATTAAATAATCGGACCCGATCGACCTTTAAAATTTAATTAAAATAATTCAATACGTGTACGTATCGACAATTATTACGAGCCAATGGACGCTTCAAGTTTTAAGCTTAATTAAATTCAGAAAAGTCGTTGTGAATTGTCACTTCGTCAATGCCGAAAAATTAATTATTTATAACAAAATAATTGATAATTAGACACTGATTCAAGTTTAATTAAATTCACACAAGGAAAACTTAATTAAATTTGTCGATGTTGAAAATTTAATTAATTTTACAAAAGAAACGCATACATTTTTACAATTATTACACTGATGGGCACGACGTTTCAAATTTATTGAGATAATTGATCCTTTCGACCTTTCAAAATTTAATTAAAATAATTAAAGACACCGGAGTGTAAAACAGTGTTGACGTTTCGAGTTTTAAACTTAATTAAATCAGAAAAGTCGTTGTGAATTGTCACTTGGTCAATGCTGAAAATTTGATTAAAATAACAAAATAATTGTTAATTAATCAATGATTCAAGTTTAACTAAATTCACACAGGGAAAACTTAATTAAACCCCAAAAACTCCTCGCAAATTGTCTCTTGGTCGATGTTGAAAATTTAATCCATTAATAATAATTATTTTTTTTTAACTATTAATCTGATCGACATTAAGTTTCAAATTTAATATAATAATTGATCCTATGGACCATTCAAAATTTAATTAAAATAATTGAAGACATCAGAGTAATCGTTTTAAGTTTAAAACTTCATTTTAAATTCGCACGAAAACGTTGAATGTTGAATATTTAATTAAAATGAATGAATCTGTAATATTTATTACGCAAATTTACTGGAATTTACAAAAAAAAAGATCTAGAAAATCGGGAGTAATATTTGAAATAGGCAATGATCGAAAAATAATAATTTTGTAATTGTAAAATTAGAGTTTTGAAGAAAATTTAATTATTTCCAATTTTTAAGAAAAAAAAGAGATTTGATTATTGCAATATGATACGATGGAAAAATATCAGTTTGAAACATTTTCTTTGGTTTCAGATTACATGAGGGCAGCGAAAAGACCGCTGTCGGAACTATCAAAGAGATCCGATTGGGAGCAGGGTCAAGTTGGGGCCGCGGCGACAGCCCCTCCGAAGAAGATACCGCGGCTTCCGGAGTTTAGCAGTTAAAAGATCGCCCCGTATAGAGAGCAGCGCTCTGTACCCTCTTCCACAAAGCCACACGCGCACCCGCGTAACGTACGCGCGCGTGCACTTGTTACAAATTACTTATGATCTCCGAAAAAAAAAATTATTTGATATAACTAGAGAGTACAATTCGGTCGTTTCCGGCGGCGCTTCCCCTGCTGCGGCGGGCGGGGGGTCGCTACTCGATTGTTTTTTAATATTAGGGGTCTTGTACAGCTTAAGTACTATGCAGTGGGAGGGGCGTTCGATGTTTCGCACTGCCCACTGCACTATTGTAGATTTTTTTTGTCGGTGCGGTAACGCTTAAATAATAAATTTGGGAATAGAAAAAATGGCGGATCGATCGGAAGGGAAGAAATTAAGTAACAGTGTTTTGCCAAAAATTTGAATTTTTGCGTATTCAAAAATTAGTACTGCTCGAAACCACCATTATTTTTCTTTCTTTTTATATACAGTGTGTCTTATCTCTCATGGTTTTACGGCGTATTTCCTTTGTTAATAAAGGTAGCGTGTTGTGACACTTTTTATTTCATTAAAAAAATCACGAAAGTCTTAACACGCTATCTTTATTAATAAGGTAGATACCACTGTAAAACTATAAAAAATGCAACATACTATTACAGGGTGTCCCGAAATTTTCCACCCTACGAAAACTCGTCTTTTCAGATAGATATTCTGTTTGCCAATGAAAATTTGAGTATTATATTTCATTCATTGAAGCAAGGTGTCGGAAATTTTGCCGCGTCCTTTCGTCCATGGTGGTCTGACGAAGGTTTTTTTTTCTCGAAACTTTACCTCTGAATTTTGTTTTCGTTTACCACCTTCGCGGTCAGCCATTTTTTTTTAATTCGCCGCTCGCTTAAGCGTTACCGGACTCGTATATATTTTTTTTGCATAACGGTCTCTAGGCTATATAACATATTTATTTTCCTTGTGATCTCTCGGCCAAAATCGCGTATTGTTAAGCAGAACCGGCCGGCGCGGTCTCCCTCATTCGGGGTGGGACGCGCGCCGCTGCGCCCCGGCGGTTTACCACGTGCAATTATTGTAAATAGAAACCATAAACGGGGTGTCGGGGATTTTTGCGGCTACAGATTTTTTTTTCCAAAATTCTATCATCGACGTGGAAGAACGGGGGACGACGAATTGGTTGAACTATATATACCTTAACATACCTGAGCGTACATCACTAAGGCCGCATTCCGGCCGGGCGCCTGCCCATCGTAGGCGCCCGTCATCTCATCAGCTCGCGGATTCCGCGGTATATTTTTTTTCTGTTTGTAGTTTTAGGGATATAGCAGGGGAGGTGTTTTTTTTTGCGCGTGGGACGCGTTTTTTGAGATGAAAAAATACATTTATTTACTTGTTAACATCTGTGATGTATTAGAAATATGATCTCAAAAGCAAATATATTAATATATATTATATCGTGTGCGCGGGGGGCGGGGTCGTGCCCTCCCGTCCGGTTCCCCCATCCCCTATTTCGCCGACTGCGCTAATCAGGGTTCACGATCCGCAGTTGGGGGTGGGCACGAGGGCGGTTCCCGGGGGGCGGCCGACTCCAATTTTGAGTAACGGCAAAGTAATTTAGATGTAATGAAGAATAATGTAAATTTGTTGTAAAAAATAACGATTTTTAAAGTATATCGTGGAGCTTGGTAATTAAAGCTTCGTTTTGTTAGTATACATGCTTGTGGTTTTATTTAATCCCCTTCCCCACGCGTTTTGAGGATGAAAACTGGCAATACTGTAGACAATTAATAAACATGGATTATTGCCATTAATAATTATAGGTTTAATAATATTATAATTATCATAATCATTCCATCCACTACGTGTTAGTTGGGCTTGATGCCTGTTAGGTAGACGTTTTTTAATAAAGAAATAACTGCAAAAAATGGACGCTGACAATCAAATCACGATTTTTGGTGCTACGTCACAATATTGCAAGTGAAAAAAATCAGACATGCGGAAATCTTTGAATATAGCAGGATCGTTTCTGAGAGTTGACGAAATAAAATTCAAAACATTCATTAAAGTGCCGGGTTAAAAAATTTTGACACCTGTTTATTAATACGCAATTTATTTGTTATATATTATTGCAGTGATGGCCCGAGCGTACCAGTCGAGGGACGACATGACGTTATTGGGAACTAACTAATGTATATAATCAAAGAATAGCGTTACAATAACATCCACATTTCCTTCTTGCATGACTTGCTAAAAAGAAATTCAAGAAATGTTTATTTTTTTATAAAACAATAAAATTGTAACTACATATACTGAGTAAGTCGAAAGATAATTAATTACCATTTATCGAAGAAATCCAGTTTTACCTTAAAAGGGTACGACTATCTATTAAACTTAACTAAGTAGTAATATCTTTAGCTGCATAAGCCCCAATTCACGTATCATAAAGTTCAAAAATATTCTACTCCATGCGGTAGTGTTTCTACCTTTCAAGTATTTTCTTTAACAAACAATTTCATCGGTCTCGAGTAAAACGAATTTAAGATTAGATATGCTTTTCCCATGTAAAATTTATACGCTGATATACTCCATAGCACTTTTCTACCTATTCAAGGAATAGTTACTGTGTCTTTCCAATAAGAATTTAAATGCAATTCTAGTCATTCTATAACATTCTACTCGCATCGATGGACTACCTTTACATTTGATCGTAAATTTCTCCAGACAATATACCGTTTTTGCAACATAATCCGGTATTTAACTTTGATAAATGTTTATGAAGGTCTAATCTCAGGGCTACCTCGCTTATAACCCTCAATAAATATATTCCATAATGACGTACCAGATCCGTATTTCTGTACTTCGTGCATACAAATGCTGAAAAGTGACCGATTTGTGTAGTTTCATGGGTGAGATTCCTCGATTATTATTCATCCATGCCGTGAATAATCCATTCTTATTTTAATATGTTTATTATAAATATAAATGAAGACAATGTTCTTTGTGTATGAATTTGCAAAATACGTATCATTTTCAAGCAAAAAATGTTAAATGACGTCTTTAGTCGATGTTTTCGTGGTAGTGAACCTTTACTTCTTTGACATCTTTCGCAGAATGTAGATATGCCCCGCAAAACTGGCACATCCAACGAATATTTCCTGCTGTTACCATCAGTCCATCGTTTCTTGACAGTATCGTGGCTATCAAACCAGGTCTCATCTTAAGATATGATGGGACGTTTTTAACACGAATTTCTTAGATTTCTCTTAAATATCTTGTCCTCCACTCTGAAAATCTAGATTCCATCAAAACTTGTCTCTTATTGATGGTTTTGTAATAAAAACCAATTCTTTGTACGAACTCGCGCAAAGTCTCTTGGGAACAGTAAATGTTCAAAAAATTAATCAACTCTTCATGCCAAATTTTAAGTGTTAAAATAATATTCTTCTGATAAGGATCATATATCAACCGTCTCACTATTGCGGCACGATACACGTCAAGCAGACTTTTTGGGGCCCCACGATATTTCCGTGTTTTTTTTTCTTGAACGCCATTCACAACTATGTCACGTAATGTGGCATCCGGTATTTTAGTCATCCCGGGCGTTAATTTTCACGATTTCGCCAATCGCCAAAAATCAACCAATAACAAACTGGGAAATCAGCGATTATAAATCAATTATTTACATAAGATTTTGTATTGCTTTTCTAGAAAACAATTTTAGAGTCATTTTGTTATACCCTTAAATTGGAAATCAGTTTGAACTTTCTAATGTGTTTGTAATATAGAAGATCAACCTATCTAATGGGCAAACTCAACTTGAAATCGAGCTACTTCAAGTACGGAAGATTTATAAAAACCACACTAATATGAATTAATATAACAGTTTAATCAAAGAAAATTTCTCTACTCTTAAACGGCACAGTTCTTGTCGGCTAACATCTTAAATACGGTCCTAACTTGTGCTACACGTGCTGAAAAGAATGCTCCTTTCCGCTTTACAACAGGCGGGTCTTAACTCATTCCGAATTCAAACCCATAAAAGGTTGTTAAACGGTATATTGTTTGGTGAACTTTACTGAACGAAATGTCCCAATTTCTTACTCCCCACCTTTTAGAAACAGATTTTCGTACACTTTTATTCGTCACCAAATATCGACCTATCGATCGGCATGTTCACAAAGTGGGTGTCGTCTGTATAATACCTCGATAGATACCTACTTATAAAGGTCATATCCCATCCGAACAAGTTGTATGTATGTTATGGGAAAGTGGTCCAGATTATTACCGTTGGCTTCAAACAGGTATTAAAATCTCTTTTGTTGTTTGTGAATGAATTTCGCACACCTGAGTTTACAGTGCGAACCTCGGCGCGCCTAATATGCAACCAGCAGACCGGAATTCTTCCGGGACAACCGTCAGAAATAGCTGTGGCGGTTGGAGAGGAAGTTGAGAGATCTTAAGAATTTGCGGAACGTTTTATTAACTTCTTTTAAAGATTTAGTCCGTTCGGTCTCATCTGGGGAATGAATTTTTCAGTGGTACGGGTACAATAAATACACATTTGCCAGAGCATATCGCGTCACGCGGTATAGTAGTCCGCCGTCAATCTCGATTATGTTTACGACATTGGACCAACTTGGAGACATCGCACGGTGCACAACGAAAATAGTCTGTTTGCCCTTCTAGGTGACGCAACACCGGTGGACAACTATTTCTAGGCACCCTTTGTTTCGAAATGGACCCCGTTTGCGTGTACGGAACACTTAACCCATTGATACGGCGTTTGGCCCTACAAAAAAAGGATAAGCCTTTATTTCGGAGAGAAAATTGATTCTAGAAAGCAAGTTAAAAACTTTCAAATTCATACGATCTTGGAAAGTGCACAAAAACAGTATTGTTTATTCGGTGACGTCATAATAAATGTCAAACGTACGTTGAGTTAGTTGTTTTGTAGCAACGATTTACGGAGCAATATTAATTGGAACCAGCGTGCACCAATATAAGTAAATTAATATATAGTATAAAAAACTATATAACGTAAAAAAAACTGAATTGTTGCAAGTCTTCATAAAAAATATCATGGCAACAGTGAAAGTTTTAACCAGTTGCGTGCCCCTACTTCCCCAGCATTATTATTTTTAAAAACAAACAAAGCAAAGATAGCAAAAAATAAACAAAAAGAGGCCTACCAATCGATTACGCAACTGACGCCTTAGACCAAAAATAAACTATCAAATAAAAGAATTATATTTAAATTTTAAGATTCTTAACTTTAGACGACCAGATGCAACTCCGTCTGTTAATTCCAAGTGTTTTCAAAAAAATATTTGGCGGCAATCAAAGAAATGAGAATAGACTGTCGATTAAAATTGGTATATGGAAAAGACATTGGCAATGGGACCGTCATGTTCCTTGCGAGGGGAAGCCGAAAATACAGACGGTACAATAAACTAAAACTTAGATGTTCCCTAAGTCGTCATTAAAACTTAATTGATTACTACATAATAAACAGAAAATATGAGATGGTGTCCAATCGTGGGCGCCGGATAGAGAATTAAAGCTGGCCTTGTAATAGTTACACGCGAGATTGGCTATATTGTTGATATAAAACTTGTCGACCTTAATGTATTTAGCAAAGTAAGGTTCCCGTTCTCTTACAATATGTCGAGGTTTTGGCGGGAAAATGAACGCGTGACTTCTCTCCGCATATTTTAACTCGCGTCTTCCCAAGGCCGCAAACAAAACAAAACCCATCCCATGTGCTTTATGGTCGTCTTGAAACAAACAAATAAATATTTGTAGCGACGAATTTCTCCGATCGAAAGAGTAAAATGCACAAGGCAGGTAAATAAGGGGTAATAAATGTGTCAGAAAAGAGTTACGACTTACAATGGACGTCGAAACTGGCCTCGTGAAACGCACCTTAGGATACAGAGCGATTTTATGAACATCTGTCTAAAGATTATTTTCAACCCTGACCGCTGACGCTGCAGTTTCCTTGCAAACTGTAATTTTTTCAACTTCCAATAATTATTACATTGCGGTTTGAAAAACAAATGGCGGAGTATTATTATTTTTTAAATTTGGTACCTACTTGACGTAATATCATAGGCCAGACAATTTCGTTACACACTGTGTAAATAATTAGCTGCATTTGACGCAGTTTAGCAACCAAATAAATAATTTTCAAACTCAAACGAATAGACAATTAAAACGAGGAGTTTGTGAAAAGCCTTTTAACCAAATTTATTTTTATTATTTCTGAACAACTTAGAAAAAAGACTTTAGACAGAAAGATGTTTCAGAAATAAAACAATTATCTATTTTGGTGGTTGATTCCAAATTTATACCACATTACTAAATAATTTATCACCTCAATAATTTGTACGAACGTATTCACCGTTTTGGTATTTTTTTTTTATATATTTTTTTGCAGATGTGCAATTATTAAATTTTTTATTAATTAACTTCACGCCATAGAAAGCTTACCACCGAAGAAACAGCGGTCCAAAATTAAATTAATTAAAAAAAAAACCGTGCACAATTATCTGTAAAAGAAGTATCCTCCGTTTTTGTGGTCAATACAAACTTTGTAAAACTTTGCAAGGAGCCTTTAAATCAAACGTCTAGAAGTAAGGATGTGCACAATTATTTTTGCAAACTTATCCACCGCCTTGAGGTTACAAAATTATGTAATTCCAGTTTTTTGCT